CCACCCTCCAAAAAAGAGGATGACAAACCTAGACATGCTCGGGGGTGAAGATGATGTGGAACCACTCTCAGCAACATATAACTCTGAAGACAATCTGCGTTTCCAATCAAGATGCAGGCTGTTCATGGAAACCGAGGATCACAGGTGTTTCTATGCAACATAGACACATCTGCTCCCACCAGTTAATTGCTGACATTGGGTTTAACCAATAATAAATCAGCCCCAGAACTGAGTGCATATTTCAAATAAAATATTAGCACAGTATAGGGATCCATGACTACCAATTAAATCCTCGAGGAATTCTGCCTGGACCCTCAGGAACAACCTCCTACAAGGGCTCCCGTGCCAGTGGGTCTCTATAGCCATTCTGCGGTATCTTGATTTTACGAACTGTTTTACAAGCAATATACAAAGTTATCATTGCAACTTGGAAACATAGGATTTTATTATTTAAAATTTGTTTGAGAGGCTGGAGTGATAGCACAGCGGGTAAGGCATTTGCCTTGCATGCAGCCAACATGGCCGACCCGGGTTCGATTCTCAGCATCCCATATAGTCCCCCGAGCACCGCCAGGAGTAATTCCTGAGTGCATGAGCCAGGAGTAACCCCTGAGCATCACCAGGTATGACCCAAAAAGCAAAAAAAAAAAAAAAACCTGTTTGATATTTTGTCCAATAAATGGTTTTGGGAAAACTAGATATCCACATGTGATAAAATGAAATTGTAAATGTATCTCATACCATCCACACAATTAAGTTCCATGTGGATTAAAGCCCTCAAGATTAGAACAGATTTGATAGATTAGACCCGATTCTATCAAATCCTTGAAGAAAGCTTTGGCAGAACTCTCCAGGAAATGAATCTCAGAGGTTGTCTCTTCAACGAGAGAACCACAGAGGCAAAGATGACAACAACAAAAAGTAAATAAATGGGATTACATCAAGTTAATTAGCTTCTGCATAGCAAAAGAATCTCAAGCTAAAATAAAAAGATACCCTAACACGTGGGAGAAAATATTTGCACGTAATACATCAGATAAAAGGCTAATATCCAGGCTACGTGGATGGATCTGAAGAGTATCGTGTTGAGTGAAGTTAGTCAGAGGGAGAGGAACAGCACACGGACACAGGAGATCTCTCATAGGAGGCATATAAAGAAACTTCGTAAGGGAATAACAAACCCAAAAGGCAATATCAACGAAGAGGGGAAATGTTCTTCAGTAGGAAGCTTGCCACTGGATTGGAGGTGGATGGGATAAATTAGGAAACGGAACACTAGGACAACGGGGGAGGGGAGAAGTGCCTGCCACAGAGGCCGGCTGGGAGTGGGGAGAGAAACTGAGGACAGTGGTGGAGGGAAGTGGACGCTACTGAAGGGACTGCTGTTGGAACACTGTATGCCTGAAAGTTAATCATGACTAACTTGGTAGCTCTGTAATTCACGGTGATTAAAAATTTGGAAACTGTAAATAAAAAGGCTAATATCCAAGAGCACTCTCAAAGCTGAACAATAAAAAATCTAACACTCCCATCCCAGAGTAAGAGGAGATAAACAGATACTTCCTCAAAGAAGGAATTCAGTTGGCAAATAGGCATATGAAGTTGCATCAAAAGCATGCTGAAAGTAGACTATAGACCAAACATGATTGCCACTCAACGCCTCTTCTGCAAACCACAACACCCAAAAGGAGAGAGAACAAAAGGGAATGCCCTGCCACAGAGGCAGGGTGGGATGAGGGGGGTGGGGGGTGGGAGGGATACTGGGACCCATGGTGGTGGAGAATGGGCACTGGTGGAGGGATGGGTACTCCATCATTGTATAACTGAAACCCAAGCACAAAAATCTGTTAAGTCTACAACTGTGCCTCATGGTGTTTCACTAATAAAAATTTAAAAAATTAAAAAATAATAAAAAAAAAATGAGCTATCATCTACCACCACTGAGAATAAAATATATTTTAAAAAGTCTGGAAACAGCCTGTGTTGGCGGGTGGTGGTGAGGAAGGAACCCTCATTCACTGTTGGTGGTAAGCTGCCTGGAAGTAAATATGGAGGTCTCTCACTGGGTCTCTTAAAAAGGTAGGAATAGAACTCCCATCCAACCTAGTGATACCATTCCTTGGCTTCTCCCCCTGCCACACAAAAAATTAATTTGAAAGGATATGTTCACACCTGTGTTCACTGCAACACTCACTATAATAGCCAAGATATGGAAATAAACCAAAATGCCTAACTACCCATAAGTGGATCAATGGTAGCATGTGCACACCATGGAATACTATGCAGCTGTAAAACAAGGACAAAATCATGCAATCTGTGCCACGACATGATGAACTAGAGGGTATGGTGCTGAGTGAAGTCAGTCAGAAATGAAGCGATAGATACAGAATTATCTCTCTCGTTTAAAGCTTCACAGTGGTAGAACAACCAATGGTCAAGGGCAGAACTGCTGGCTCACAGAACTGAGTTGAGCAGAGCCTTCTGGGACCTAGTGGGAGGAAGTGGACATTCTGGTGGTAGGTATGCTGCTGCAATGATGTATGCAGGGTGCCACCATTAACAGTACTGTAAATTACAGTGCCTCATTATTTCTCTTTCCAGGGGCAAAAGATCAATCTTTAATCTATCTTAATCAGCTCATTTGTGCTACAGTAGTATCATCAGCTCCATGGATTTGACTCTCCTTAGTGTCTTTACCTCAACTACCCCACATTTCATGCCTCTCTCTCCATCAAGACTTTCCACTGGGATTTCTGGTATGATAAATGCATTTCTCTCTTATTTCTTTGCTAAATGATCCCTCCAACTTCTTACAGAAACGTGTTTCTCTGAAGTCAATATGACCTCCAATCCAAAGTGAAATATCAATGCTGTGGACTTGGCTGTAGGGCAAATATAACAATTAAAAGGCATGCTCTTGCAATAATTCATCACAGTTAGCTATGATCTGATGTAAATACTTAAAATCCCATTTCCCTTATTTTCATTTGAAGACCATCAGTATATCACCTGAACCTAAGTTCACGCTGCTACACGAATTTGTCAATAGACTATAATATGACGTTGCATTTATTTTTCTCCCACGTGATTTCATTCTACTTGTCCTTCACTTGGATTAGACAGCAATTTTAATCTTTTTTCTGAATTGAATCACAGTAAGAGCTGTTCGTATAAGGCAGATACATCCTGACCTACTAGTGCATAGGTTAGAAAGCTACACTCACAGACAACTTTCAGTCTGCTACAGAATACATGTGTTGCTATGAAATCAGAAAGAAACCATTATAGTTAACTCCTAAGTATCCATAAGAAAAATCACCCTAACGTCAGAGAGCAGTGCTCTGCTATTATGATTCCTGGCTTTCTCTGCTCGGCAAAAAAGCAGGTTCTGGCTAAGAAAGGGGGAGCCGGGGCTGGCAGGGCCTGCACCACTGTAGCACTGTCCTCCCATTGTTCATCGATTTGCTCGAGCGGGCACCAGTAACATCTCCATTGTGAGACTTGTTACTGTTTTTGGCATATCCAATATGTCACAGGGAGCTTGCCAGGCTCTGCCATGCGGGTGGGATACACTCGGTAGCTTGCCGGGCTCTCCGAGAGGGACGGAGGAATCGAACCCGGGTCGGCCACGTGCAAGGCAAACGCCCCACCTGCTGTGCTATGGCTCCAGCCCTGCACCAGCTTAGTAAACAGCCATCAGGCATGGATGGTACAGCAAACACTTTCCAAGCTAGGGCTGTGGAGCCGGAGCCTCAACTCCTAGTTGGGCAAACATGAAAACTAGCTAGCAGAGGAAGAAACCTGGTAAGAACCAGCACCGCCTGCCAGTGGTGGGCAGCAGGAGCACGCAGAGTGGCAGCCAAGTCTTACTCATATCCTGGAGTCAGCTTCTGCACTTGCTCCATTCCGCCCTAATGAGGAATAACGAATGGAAGCAAGAGCCCTTAATCAAGGAAGGCTACAGAGAATAAATTAAGATCCATATGGTAGTTCTTGAACCGTTTTAAGATTCGGTGTTTGGCAGGGACGGCAATTTGGAGAAAATGTCGACAGGGGCACTGGGGATAATAAAGATGACTTGCACTTACTTGTGAAAACCAATTATCTATTGTTATTAGCAGGCGAACACGATCATAATAAACTGAAACAGTAATCCAAGTAAACACTGCGACTGAAATGTAAACATGAGCTCAGTTCATGCACCTGTTAACAGTTGACTGCTATTAAAACACAGTTCCTCTGCAGCCTACCAAAGATGGAGCAGGCAAATGATTCGTTTGTTCTGAGTCAATGTGTATGCATTGGGTACCCGTTATGTTCCAGGACCTTACTGCAGAACCAGTGGGGAATAAAAGAACCCCAATCTCTGCTGACAAAGAGCTTGTTACTATTAATGTTGGAAAAGGTGAGAATCCAACTGCAAAAATAAACAAGAGGCCCACGGTGTAACTCATTGGTAAAGTGCATGCCTTGCATGATACACACACACACACACACACACACACACACACATACACACACAAAAATTCTTACTTTGGTAAACTCTGGAAATAGGAGTGCCCATATAAAATTCCTTGGATATTTTCAAGTTTTTTGCATTCTAGTATCACCTGTTAATGCTGAATACTCACAGGTAGTACCTAAATATGGAAACAAACTGGAAAGTAGGGAAATACTATACATTGGACGTTTTCTGAAATTCAGAACACTAACAAAGAAAACATACGCATCTATTATGAAAACAGAACTGGACTTTTAAAAGAATGATCGTAAGCTCAAAACAGCTTTTCCTCGCGACTACAAAACCAGAGCCACATTAACTAACGACTGGCAAAATCCCTCTTGTAAACTCCAGGGCTCAGGATAAACAGCCCTTAAGCCGAATTCCCAAGCAAACTGCTTCTGAGCAGGAGGGGGCCAAAATCTCACTCAAATACGACTGCAAAGCATCTTGCCTACTTAGTTTATTGAAAATGAATGAAGGACTCAGGATTGCTTACCTTGTAATCTCTGGATACATTTTCTGATGTCACTGAACCTGAAATCTGACTAGAAATTGTAGCAGCTATAAGCTGTTTACACCATTCAACATGTGACCCTGTAGGACTAAAAGAAATAGTGTGATTAAAAAAATTGAAGAGACAGATAGGCTCTAGGTGGGAAAAATGAGTGCTGACTTGGGACCTATGTATATTTTGGTTTTTATGAACTTTGAGTTATTTGGCTACCTTTCCACTGATTACAAGAACTGAGGTACTGACTCGGAAGTCAGGTTAGCTTCCATGTTGATTATAACTGAATCAACAAATTCTTTTCGAAGATTAAGATCCTTAGACATTCAAGCATGTTTCTATCACTTAACGGGATGGAGTTTTAGTTTATTATGATTATACAGAGTGGCTATTCCTAACAACGTATGTAGAGTAATTCCAGAGTGAAGTGCCTAATTTACAGCAGAAGCTTTTCGAACTCAATTTCATGTAGTCTGAAATTTAGGAAACAATTTCCAGTGAAACAAAAGAACTCAATGGAACAAAGGTCTGGGTTCATTTAAAAGCAGGATTCAGTTTTGTTAATAATGAAACTATGGGGCCAGAGCGACAGTACAGAGAGTAGGGCATTTGCCTTGCATGTGGCCGACCTGAGTCCAATCCCCTGCATCCCATAGGGTCCCTCATACACCGTCAGGAGTAATTCCTGAGTGCAGAGCCAGGAGTAACCACTGAGCATAGCTGGGTGTGACCCAAAAAGGAAAAAAAGAAAAAGAAAGAAAGAAACTATGTTCATGTAAACAAGTGGCTTTTTAAAAATGGGGCTACATGCTTCAGGGCCACTGGTGTTACAGCTGGCGTGCTGGGGGTTGGGGAGGGGGGTTCACAAGGTGCTCGGGAATCCAACTCAGGGCCTCTTACATGCAAAGAATGTGCTCTGCCATTTGAGTCATATCCCTGGCCCCTTAGTGGACCAATGTTAACTGCAGTTTTGAAAAAGAACAGACTAGAAAACTGATGTCCCATGTAGAGCATGAAGGCTACCTCCACATCTGAACAACGGATAAAAAGGCTCTTCCGGTCTGTTATGTTCTCAGAAGTGTGAGATATCGTAGTGTGATAAGAACAGGAACTAGCAACTTATTTCTGTGCTGAGGAAGTGGCGGCCCAGAGGTAACCTGCCTAGCGCTGTCCTTTGAGGACATGGCACAACCAACAGTGCCCAACTCATTACGCTGGAGAGAAAATCAGAGGAGGTGGCACAGATGTCCACCACTGCCTGCGCGAGAACCGCCAGGGCTGCCGGAGTGGCAGCTCCCAGTCGCAAGGTGCTTAAAGTGCTCAACACATTCCAGAGCCAGCCTGGCCCGAACCTCAGTGACCTATGTCCGTGGCCCAGCTGAGGCTCCAATGGTTGACCGAGCTTGTTTGACTGGGAAGTGACGGGGCTGTCCTCTGGGACCACAAAGCCAATTCTGGAGGGATGGAATTCAGATTGCACCCAGGGATTGGCTGGGCTCACAGCGTGTCCAAATGCTGAAGAAATCAACAAGAGGGCAGAAGGAAGGTGCTTATGGAAGTTTACCTAGCAGGTAGCTTTCTCTCTAAGCAATGTTCCTGGCCTTGAAAAATCCCGTCATTAATTCAATCCACACTCTTGTAGTCAGAGGACAGTAAAACCTGAGCGCCCTAGGCAGGACAGAAAATAACCAAGAGGACCAAACCGAACGTTTGTTTCCCACTAGTGCTCTCCCTGGCTGTCTCTCATCAAGACAGCACCACGGTGATGCGGGGGTTGAAAGTACAAGTACAGACACCCGCTGAATGGCCAGACGCGTCGACCACGTGTCAAGAACCCACCACAAGTTTTAACTAAGAGGAAGGAAGGGGGGAGAGGGATTTCGGTTTCCCTTTGAAAGGCCAAGGCACCTTCACGGCCTGCCCTCACGCTTCTCAGCATGCTGTTTCCTCACCGGCACCTCGGGCCCACGGTCAAGCAAACCTTTGGGACCCACCTGGCCAGGAGCGCTGCCCCTCCCTCGGTTGTGGGTAGCTGGTCTCCAGGCTCCCTCGGATCCCGGCAGGGAAGAGGCAGTGCCACGCTCGCCCTGCCCAAGACTGAGAGGGAGGCCATGCAGGCCTGGCTCTGAGGATCCACCCAGGAACTGCAGGAGGAACTCCACAATCCCACCCTGGGCCACCCACAGGGATGAAAACTGGGTCAAAGCAGATAAGCGTGGGACAGCCCCGAAACCACAGCTGCCACTGAGTTCCCAAAGCACCCCTGACCCGCTCTGGCCGGCACCCTGCGGTGTCGTGGGCTGAGATGCTGCCTGCTGGGCTCAATATAGACTGAGCTGGCGGGCCAGCAAGCCAGCAGCCCGGGGTTCCAGTCCCGTTTCCGTCCCTGCTCGCTCAGTGTCCTGTGAACATCGATCCTCTGCTAGGCCCGCAGCTCTGCCCTGCTGAGAGGAGCACGGGTCCGGGTTGGAGCACACGGCCCGCCTGGCCACCGCTGTGCTTTCCAGCAGTCTCGTCTCTGCAGCTGTGGCGCCCAGCTGTGCTGCTCCACCCTGGCCTTTCCTGGCCCAGCGGGCACTGGGCAGCTCTAACTGTGGGCCACCAGAGAGCTGCCCACGTGCCCTTTCTAGCCCCTCAGCCCCCTCCCCGCCAGTTCCCAGGGAAAACACACCGAGCCAGGCACCTCGGACCCAGGGCTGGGCTTTACTTCGGAACCCAACGCTCAACCAACTCATGTCACTCTCATGCGCTAAATATCGACCTCGCCCTGGGCCCCATCCAGCTCGCCCCGAGCCCCCTCTGTTGGTCAATGGCTTCCACACTGAGGTCTTCGGCACCCTCGAGAATGTACAGCTGGCCTCTCATGAACTGCTGAGTCCGGAGCCTGAGCCTGCCAGCTGCCAGCTGCCCTAGAGCTGCTCCGTCTCAGCGACACCATTTACCCACGCACCCTGCACTGGCACTCCGTGATTCTTCTCTCGGACTCAAGTACCCGTCTGTGGCCAACATTGACTGGACCCCGCAGGGATCCTTCAAATGATACCTTGGCCAGCCACCCCTACCTCCCTCCACTCTGTCACTCTGCTCTGAACCCCACTGGCTGCATGGACTTAAGGACACCTGTCTGCTATGTCCTCCAGACCCTACTCCAAACCCCCACTGGCTCCCATGAATCTCCACCACCAGCCCCGTGATCACTAACATCACGTCCACTCCCTCCTGCTCCCTCCCTAGGTCCCTCTCACCAGTGACACTGGTCAGCTCTTGCCCACTTTGCCTGTGCTCACACCCCAGAAATCTGTCCGCCTGGATCACTTCCTTAGGGGCATCACTCAAATGCCACCTTCCTCAGTCAACTTCCCTGAGCACCGGACATTGGCCAGAAATGCTGGACATTTCTATCTGTCCCCCAACCTACCACTTCTACCTCTTTTCCCACATTTTTTTTCTTTTTGGGTCACACCTGGCAATGCACAAGGGTACTCCTGGCTCTTCACTCAGGAATCACTCCCGGGGGTGCTCGGGCGAACATATGGGATGCTGGGGATCGAACCCGGGTCTGCCGCGTGTAAGGCAAACGCCCTACCCTTCCAACGCTGTGCCAACGCTCCAGTCCCCTTCCCACTTCTTTCTCCCTCCCCTAATGTCGAATACCATCTGACAGAACACTCTGAACTGGCTTCTCGTCCACCTCTTCCACTACACTGCTCCAAGAATTGTGCGCATGCTCTCCCCGATATCCTTAGGTCCAACACAGTGTCTGGCAGAGGACGGCAGCATTTGCCAAACCTACTAATCGCACCTCCCCACCCAAGAAAGCTGTCCCACTCATGCTGACCCGAGGCTTTCAAATGCCGGTCCCGCTGAGGAGCTCATTGGATGCAAATGCCTTTAGGACCCCCCTGTAGCTCTTTCCATTCAAACCACGAGTGGAAGGACAGTGATATTAATCACCACACCGGTACAACCTGTCAGCCAGCATCATGCCAGGTAAGGGAGAGCCCACGGCCACCCTCCTTGCAGCTAAGGTGCTTATTAAGAGCACAGGCACAGACTGCACACCAGCAGGGATGGGTGGACTCGATTTAGGGTGGGGCCCAGGAACCTGCATTTGAATCAAGCACTAGAGGTGATTAGGGAACCCCACCCTAGCAGCAGTGGAGCAGGCCCCAAGCAGCCGGATGTGGGCCCTGTCTGCCTCTGCTTCCGTCATCCCCCGCCCACACATCACCTGCTGCACATTCCACTCCCAGGGTCACCGCCCTCCCGGCCCGGTCCCCTTGGCCGACTTCACATTCGGCCTCACTCGCTTCTAATGCGGGCTCCTGTGGAATGTTCTCTTCTGCCCTACCTCCACGGGGGAAAAAATGGAAAAAAAATCAACTGGGAGCCCCTTCCGGGTGGCGGCGGTACAAAACCAAAAGCCAGGAGGCTGGGGGTGTGAGAGCCAGGAACAGTTAAGTGCGGTAGATCTCCAGAAACCTGCAACTCAGGCTGGAACCCGCACAAACGCTATGCAGCGGCCCCCGCGTGCCCGCCCCAGGGGGCGGACCCGCCTGCGTAGGCCACCCCCACCCCCACGCCCGTCCCCGCACCCAAACTGATGGCCACTGGACCAAAAGCCCCAAGGCCAACGCAGCCACGCCCCCGGCCAGGACGAGCGCAGAGACCCCCTGCCCGGCCCAGCGCTGTCGCGACTGCCTCGGCTTTGCAGTGAACCGCCGCAGAGGGGTGGCGGATTCGCTCCGATACCTCGCCGGGGCACCCAGTTTGACAGGAAACAGGGGGTTGCCTCTGCCTCTGGAAACTTCCCAAAGTCCATCTAAGTGCTATGACTAAGGCAGGCAGGAATGAACATCGGCGCAGGCCTCAGCGCCCGCCGCCAACGGCTCTTGCCTAACTGCATCCCCCGCGGCGGCGGCGGCGGCGCGGGTGTCAGCGACGGGCCCCAGATGTGGGGGAACTGGCTGGGCTGGGCCGGGCCGTGGGGCGCATTCCCCGGCGCGGGAGCCTCGGGGTGCCCCCGGACCTTTCGGGTCCAGCTGACGCCTGCAACTTGCCCGCTTCGGGGCGAGCGAGCGAGCGGTGGGCGTCCGCCCTCTCCCTCCCTCCGGGGCGCCCCACCGCCGGCGACCGCGCGCGGCCCTCCCGGGGACAGATGTCGCGTGGCCGTCCCGCGCCTCCACGGACGGCGGCCCGAGCACCCCGGAGTTGAGGGCGGGGGGCGTCCCCCACCCCTGGACCTCCCTCCCCACCCCCGCGACCGCCAGATCGCAGGCTTCGCCCCCGTCGCGGGACGCTGGGGTCACGGCGCCGGGGGCGGCGCGCGCGGCCGGGAAACGCTTTGACAGCTGCGAGGCGCAGGGCGGGGGGGGGGGGGGCGGGCGGAAGTGCGGTGGGGGCGGGGCGGGCCGGAGGGGCGCCGGGGGGGTCGGGGCCGGGTGGGAGGGGGCGCGGGGGTCCCGCTTACCTGTCCACAGCGTCCGCGCCGGGCTGCCGGGCGCCGGGGGTCGGGCCCGCCGTCCCCCATGGGGGCCTCCTGCCACCCGCCGCGCCCGGGCCCGCGGCCCCGCCGCCCTCGCCGCCCGCCGCGCCCCCCGCGGCCGCCGCCAGCGCCGCCGGCCGCTCCATGGCGCGCCTCGGCCGCCGCGCTGTCGCCGGGAGAGCGGCGCCCCCGGAGCGCCCCGCAGTGCCGCCGCCGCCGCCCCGGGCCGCCTCAGGCGGCCGCCGCCATTAGCTGTCACCTGGCGGCCGCCGCGCTACCCAGAAGGCCGCGCGGGGGGCGGGGCTGGGGGCGGGGTCGAGGGCGGGGCCGGGCCGGGGGCGGGGCCAGAACCTCCCCACCTGGCGCCGGCCCCGGGATCCCGCGGCCCCGGCCGCCTCGCCGCTGCATCCTCACTGCCCCCGGAGAAGTGCTCCCGGCGGCCGGGGGCCGAGACTAGGGGGGACCGACCGTGGGATGCCCCCGGAGACCAGGCGCAGGGCTGTGGGGGCGGGGCGGGGCGGTGCTGCAGGGGGCCCCCCAGGTAGGCGGGCTCACACCTGCGCCTGGCACCCCACACCTGAGACCGCGGCTTCCCCAGCCGCAGACGCTCGTGGCTTCCCCAGCGCAGCTCGGAGGTGTGTGTGGGGGGGGGGGGGGGGGAGGGACACAGACGCCGCCCCGCGGCGTTTCCCTTCCAAGCAGTTCCAGCTTCCAGACATCGCCGCGATCGCTGTGCACCCCTCTCCGCGCCCCTGCACTGCACGCCCACGTCCCGGCCATCTGCAGGGCGACCGCATGTTCGGAGGACATCCTCTGAACTTCCGTTCTGGGTGAAAGCTCAGTGCAACACTCAGCTTCTGCTAAAGCCCCACTATGAAAACCAAGACGCTAGCTCCGGATACAGGGATGGAGGCTCTCGGCTTCCTGGACCCGGCAGATGTCCCTGCCCTGTTTGCTGAGGTTTGAATAAAACAAAACAAACACTGTTCTCCAATTGTTCATCGATTTGCTGAGCGAGCCCAGTAACGTCTCCAGTTTGAGACTTCTTGTTACTGTGTTTGGCATATTGAATAGTCACGGGTAGTTTGCCAGGCTTTGCCCTGCGGGCAAGATACTCTCGGTAGCTTGCCAGGCTCTCCGAGAGGGGCGGAGGAATCGAACCCAGCTCGGCAGGGCTGGCTGCGTGCAAGGCAAACGCCCTACCGCTGTTTGAATACTCAGTGGCAAATCCCTTCCGCACTCCCCACTGATTGTGTTGGGATGGGGCTGCGAATCACGACTTAAAGACCTTCGTCTGTGATTATTCGGGGGTATAGACAGTACCCATGATCCCAATCTCGCTGGTAAATGATAAATGGAGTCGTTTCCTTACTGATGACAGGCAGCCGTTGGGACAGGGAGCTTTCGATTCCCACCCCAGGGCCAACCAGCTGAATGTCCAACACGGATAACTGGATCCCCAGCAGTCCGCTTGCATATAAGGGTGAATGAGCCGTGGGTAGAAGGACCACTGGGTGTGCAGGGTTGCGAGGAAGCAGGAAAGAGCTCACATCATCTTGGACAGCCCCTTCTTGAGGCTCTGGGTTTTCCAAAATGATTCAAATGTTAGAGCCACTGTTACACGCTGAGTGTTCCTGTCCCATCCGTCCCTCGCTGATGTGTTGAAACTGTAATGTTCAATGAAGGGCACTTAGAGAGGAACCCTTTGGAAGGTGATCAGGGCAGAAGTATGTGCCCCTGATCTAATGGGATTAGTGCCTTTCTAGAAGAGACACCAGAGACAGTGCTCTCACATTCTCCATGAACAGCACCAAGGAAAGGCCAAAAGGCCACGCACGTGAGAGGCTTTCAGCAAGCCAGGAGGATGCACCTCACTGGGAACCCCACCCTTCCAGAGATTTGATCTTGGGCTCCCAACCTCCAGAACTATGACACCATAAGTATCTCTCAGCCTCCCAGTCTCTGGTATTTTGTTATGGATCTTTCAAAACTTTTTTATTTTCGTGCCAGGGACTATAGCGATTCTTTTGTGGAAATCCCCACCAAAAGCCAGCAAAATAAATAAACCACACGCCTTGAGAAGTAGAGAACACTGGTCTATTACACTGGCAGACCCAGTAGAGCTTGTGCTCCAAAAGAACTGTGGGCAGAGCAAAGGCAAAACACTCGGTTTTCCAGCTTAACTGATGAGGATTGGGTCATTTGCAGGCAGCTAGCAGGAGAGAACAAAAGCAGAAATTCAAAGCATGTGATTTTGCAAAGCAGGGTCTGGACCCCCTCAAGGCCATGAACACACTTCGCATTTGTTCCCAGCTTACCAAGATTACAAAGCGACACCCAGACCATCTCAAGGACACCCTGAATGCACTCCCTGGTTCTGTCATCCAGACACAGCACCCCTTGGCAGCTCCTGCTCTCTGGTGCTAACCTGCTCGGAGCGAGCCTGTCTGGAGTAAGAGCAGCGCCTCTTCTCCTCATCAATAGTACAGCAGGTGGAATGGAGCAATAACACAGCGGGTAGGGTGTTTGCCTTGCACGCAGCCAACCTGGGTTTGACTCTCAGCATCCCATAGGGTCCCCTGAGCACTGCCAGGGGTAATTACTGAGTGCAGAGCCAGGAGTTAACTCCGATGGGTGTGACCCAACCCCCCAAAAAAGCAAAAAAAAAATAGTACAGCAGGTAAGGTGCTTGCCTTGCATGTGCTGGACTTGGGTTTAATCCCCGGCATCTGATATGGTCCACTGAGACCCTCTAGGAGTAATCCCTGAGCACAGAGCCAGGAGTAAGCCCAAAGCACCTCTGGGCGTGCCCTCCCCCCAAAATGAATTTTCTCATGCCATAATTAGTTATGTCCTGATGTGGCATCACATTGAGGATCGGGTTAAAGTTCCATTGCCCTTGTGAGAAAAGAGAAATATTACTGCAAATTTTGCAGCTCAAATCCTATGCATTCCTTCCTTTCTCTGCATTTTCCATTGGAAAGAAGACCAGGCTTGCTCAGTTGGGTTCTTCACTTTGGGTCTCATGGGGTATTAGCAGGACTGGACTCTTTCCCAGAGACTCTGGGAAGAAATCTTTGTCATCTCACTGTTCTGAGATTTGGCAGTAAGAAAATGGTGCCATGCGAAACATATTTGAAGTACCACATTTCTCAAGAAAAAAAAATATTCAGGAAAATATGAACTCAGTATGATACTATGAGACTTTCTATTGAGGTAAACAAATTTAGGACTTAGAGGACAGAGATGGAGTCCAGGCCAATTCATTTGTTAGCAGGTAATGATTTGTATGTCACCTTCCACCTTCCTGAGGGCATGTTGAAGGCTTCCATTAACCTGACTTCATGAAGAGTTGTTTGGGAGAAATCTTCATTTTGAACACTACCCCGCGAGAACCCCCACAGAGTGGGGAGAAAATGATGTGATATCTTTGTGGTATCAGATGCCAGTGCAGACAAACATGGGATGGTGCTGCTTTCCCTCAAGGTCTGTAGTGAAGGACTTTAACAATCTGCATGAAGTGTTGGGAAGTTTTTGAGTACTAAAGATACCCACATTCAAACTAGACATGAGGGGTTGTATAAGGATTATCCATCCATTTTTTTTCCAGCGGGGGGGGGCGCACACCTGGATTTACTCAGGGCTTATTCTTGGCTCTGCACTCAGGAGTCACTACTGACAAGCTCAGGGGCCGTGTGGTGAGCCAGGAATATCCATCTGTTTGTTTTAAAGCATTAAAGTAGCAAGGATCATTGACTTGGCATATCTAGGAGCTGAAATTCACAGACAGAAACATTGGGAAGGGATAGATATTTAGTTAGGAAGGAAGATATTCTTAAACACTTTGTCTTAACCTCATTCTGTGTTCTTTGCCGAGGTGGCAAAGAATCAAGCACCATGGACCCTGGGTAATTGAGAGCTAGTAACTTCTCAGTTTCCTCTCCTTCAAAAGAGGATCACTCGAAGGCTTGGAGGCCAGCCGCACATGCTAGGGGAAAAGGGAGCTCAGATAGAGAAGGGAACACCAAGTAAAGGGTGTTGGGAAGATCCTCCCAGGATGGGAGATGCATGCTGAAAGTAGACTATAGACCAAACATGATTGCCACTCAATGCCTCTTTTGCAAACCACAGCACTCCAAAGGAGAGAGAAAGAGAGAGAACAAAAGGGGATGCCCTGCCACAGAGGCGGGTTGGGATGGGGGTATGGGGGTGGGAGGGATACTGGGACCATTGGTGGTGGAGAATGGGCACTGGTGGAGGGATGGGTACTCAATCATTGTATATCTGAAACCCAAGTACAAAAACTTGTATGTCCACAACTGTACCTCATGGTGTTTCACTAATAAAATTTTTTTTAAAAAAAAGAATGATGTCAGCTCAGGACTACTAGGCCTCACATTAATCTTAAACTTGCCAAAATCTCAGGTACATTGTTCCCTGTGGCTAAAAGCTCCATGCCTTCTCAAAAAATAGGATGGGCTAGCTTTCCCCAATTTCGTGTGCCTCCAGAAGCTCTGGTAGTCATGCCCATGAACCATCTCTGTCATCATGTAAGCTTAGCAGTAAAAATGTAACTCCAGCTGGATGGACCAGTTAAAAACTCAGGATTTTCTGAAGCACATGGCTGGAAGCATGATGAGATATAACAGTTTTTCACTAATTTCTTCTAATAAATATTTTGGATCATTCTGTTGGCCATTTATGGGTACCAAACTATATAAAATAAATGACTGTGGGCCTGCCACAGGGGTAGGCTTAGACGGTAGATGGGAAAACAGATAATGGTGGAGGGAAGGTGACAGAAGGTGACAGTAGTGGTGGGATTGGTGTTGGAATACTGAATGCTTATAACAAATCATCATGAACAACTTGGTAAAACCACAGTGTTTAAATAAAAGGGGGGGTCGGAGTGATAGTATAGCGGGTAGGGCATTTGCCTTGCATGTGGCCAACCTGAGTTCAATCCCTGGCATCCCATATGGTGCCCCAAGCATCGCCAGAACTAATTCCTGAGTGCAGAGCTAGGCGTAACCACTGAGCAGCACTGAGTGTGACCCAAAAAGCAAAATAAATAAATAAATAAATAAATAAAGTGGGGGGTAGAGAAAAGAAACAACCTATGCAAAAGAATTCCAAATAAATAATACATACTCCATCCTTTAAAAAAGAGGATGATGATGAGGAGGAGGAGGAGGAGGATGACAACGACAATGATGATAGAGCTAATCATATGTTGTTCAAGCAATTAAATGA